CCCCTTGCTCGGGGCCCTGTCGCCTGTGTTCGATGCGTCCGCCACTTCCTCGCCCTTCTGTCCCTCCTCTACGGCCGAGGAAGGATGCCTCCCCCACCCCCCCCCTCCACCCCCCGTCCCCCGGGTCCCCCCGCACCGCTGCGCCCGGGGCAAGGTTGCTGCCGCGCCGAGTTGCTCCAAAGAGGCCGGGGCACCGGCCGGAGGGGGCGGAATTCCCGACACATCGCCCCAACTGTGGGAATGTCTCAGGTCCGTTGGCACGGGGTGTTTACATTGGCACATGCGCCGGCCTAGCGTCGGGCTTGGCTCTCGGGGCCGGCCGGCGGGGGCTGGGCGGGGTTTTCCGCCTGGCGAGGCGGCGCGGCCATGGCCACCGGCTGCTGGTGGATGGTCCGCGGGATGAGGACATGCTCGAGGGTCAGGCCGAGGGAGCCACCGCGAGTGTAGGGAGCCGCGCCACTGGCGCCGAGGCTCCCGGCCGAGGAGGCCGTCATGCCGGCCGGCTGGGGGAGAGGCGCGGCGGAAGATGCCTGGGCCGCCATGCGGGATATCCGCAGGGCGGTGCTGATCGACGAGTGGGGTGACTATGGCGCGCGAGGCCGGCAGGGGGAGGACGTGAGCAGGGGCACCAGCCAGGCGGGCAAGGGCGGCATGGTGGCCACCGGGGGGGGGGGGGGGGGGGGGGGGGGGGGGGGGGGGAGGGGGGCGGGGGGGCATGCGCACCGTCAGGTTGGCCGAGAGGACCGGCACCAGGAAACGCTCGGTCAGGGACGACAGGTCGGCCGCCGAGAGGGCAGACTTGGAGCGCTTGTCCACTGGCGGCAGTGCGGCCGAAAGGTCGGGCGCGAAGGGGGAAAAGGCCGGACGGCGGGAGAGGGGGGGGGGGGCAAGGCCGATCGAATGGCATGGAGGAGAGGCAGGCCCGAAGGCCGATCGGAGGGCGGATTAGCATGGCGCGACAGGCCGGGGGAGGGGGCGGCGGGTGGGACAAGGCAGGGACCAGGGGAGGGCAAAGGCCGGCCCGGCACATCGGGTCCCCCCCCGAGGCTGGCAAGCGGCACCTACCATGTGTGCAGACAACACAGGCACGACCCGATGACAGGGTTTCCGGGTGGAGGCCGCCCAGCTGGAAGGCGGCACCATCAAAGGCCTCCGGGTTACGGTGGTGCGACAGGTGGGCCAGGTTGGACGACACGCCGGACAGGGCCAGGCGGGCTTGGTTGAAGGATGCCAGGTTGGTCCAGTCCACCAGGATGACCACAAAATCGAAGGGCCGCCGCGGGGTGTCGGCCGCTGGAAGAGGCAGCTGCCAGGCAAGGTGTCTGCCGGCCGGGGATGTCAGCTGGGGGGGGGGGGGGGGGGGGGGAACGAGGAGGGAAGGGGAACAAGACTCCCCTCTCTGCTTTTGTCAGAGGGGAGAATGGGAACAGACAAAGCGCAGACCCATGCCCGCCCCTCGGCTTCTCTCTCTCTCCATGTCTCTCTCTCGCGGTGGAGGGGGGGGAGGAGGCAAGAGGCGAGACAAGCACAAGAGGCAGGGGCCTGACACGAAGGTGCATTCATTGCGCAGCAGCGCTCCCAAGTGTGTAGGTGTATACGTGAGGATAGGGGCAGCAACAGACACACCACCACGGTCGGTGATAATGCGCGGGAGGGGGGGGGGGGTATTATTCTCCATCGGCGCGGGGTATGTGTGTGCACATGTCCCCGCGTGACAGGGGCCCACACGCAAGTGCATTTAGACGCTGGTGGAGCCGGTGGTGGAGGTGATGATGGCCTTGAAGACCTCGACGTCGATCTCGGCGCGGACCTTGGACTCGTCGTCGGTGGCATCGGCCAGGGCCTTGGAGGCGGTGGCGAGGTTGGCCTTGGCGAGCTGTGCAAAGGCGCATCCATTGGAGGGGGAGGGGCGGCCAGCAGGGCATGGGGGGAGAGGGAGGGAGCGGGGAGAGAGGAGAAGCGGGTGTCAGAGGAGGAGAAAAGGTGTGCGAGGAGGGGGGGCCGGTGGGTTGCCATAGGGGAAGAGGCGCGCGCGTGCCGGGGCGAGGGAGAAAGAGAGAGAGAGAGAGAGAGAGAGAAGGCGAAAGGATGAGGCGTACGTCAATGTCGATGTCGTCGAAGTTGACGGCCTCGACGGCAGTGACGTTGAGGGAGGAGTCGTGGTTCATGACGGCGAAGCCACCGGAGACTGCGGATGGGCGAGTTGCGTGTGCAAGGGCGCGTCGACCACACAGCGAGCAATCGGTTCCCACGAGAGAATGCAGGTGGCGTGGAGGGAGGGAGGGAGGGAGACCGCGATGCCAGGAAAGCGGGGAGGGGGTTAGGAGAGTGATGAGGGCGGCGACAACGCCGCGGCGCAGGGGGTGCGCACACGGCCCCACAGCAGAGGCATCTAGGAGGAAAGACACATAGAGGGGGGGGAGGCGACGCACCGAAGTACTTGGTGACGCTCTTGTCAAGGGCAATAACCTCGACGGTGCCGGGGCGGAGCTCGGTGATGTAGGGAACGTGGTTGGCCAGGATACCCATAACCCCGGAGACGGCGGGGATGTTCACCTGAGAAACCTCGACGTTGTTGTAGAAGGCCTGGACACGTGCGCAAATGCACGCGAAGGCCAAGGGGGGAGGAGAGGCAGAGAGAGAGAGAGAGAGAGAGAGAGAGAGACAGGGAGGACGGAGCGAGAGGTCAGCATGAGATGATGCAAGTGAGGGCGGGGGGGGGAGCACGAGTGGGAAGAACGGGAGGAGCGCACCTCATGAGGAGCGGAGAAAAGCAGGCGAAGGCCGTTGGGGGTGGCAGCAGCGGCGGTGCTGGAGTAGGCGCGGGCCAGGGCCTGGACACACACACACACGCAGAGCGCAACGCGGCCGTGGAGCAGGAGTGGAGGGGTGCGAGGGAACGAGGGCGAGAGGTTAGCTGGGGCTGGACGCGGAGGAAGAGGGGGGCGCAGGCCACATTCGTCCCCAGGGGGGGGAGAGCATGGCGCGAGACGGAGCACGGCGAGGCGCAGAGGCTGCGGAGCTTGAGCGGGAGAGAGGGAGAAGGAGAGAAAGAGAGAGGAAGGGAGGGAGGGAGGCAGAGAAGGAAGACCCCACGGAGGCAACACCCGGAGATGAGGCTGGCGCTGGCAGTGGCACCAGGAGGACAACCACACCAAGGGGGGGTAGTGTGGGCGTCGTGCTGGTTCTCCTCTGGCAGCCGCCCGTCACGGGGTAAAGGGCAGCCGTGCGCATCGAGTCCCAGCACAGCGAGAAGGGAGAGAGGCACAGGAGGACGGGAGAGAGAGAGGGAGGGGGGGGAGGGGATGGACAGGGCGCGGGCAGCAGCAGCAGCCCAAGACGGCCGACGAGAAGTGCACACGCTAGCCCCCTCCCCCCCCCCTATGCACGGGCCGTGAGTGCCTGCGGGAGGCATGCTCCCAGCCCGGGGGCGTGGGGGATCGTTCCTGCCTCACGCATTCACCACAGCACGAAGACAAGGAGAGGAGGGGGAAGGGGGAAGCAGGCGACAAGGGAGCATGAAAGGGGGGTGGGCGGTGGAGGGAGGGAGGAAAGCAGGGAGGTTCGTACGGGGCGAACGGCGGAAAAGGCGGTGCGGCTGAGCATTGTGAAGGGGAGGGGGGGGGCGGTAAGCGGGGGAGGGGACACAGCAATCGAGGGATGCTGAGGCTTACGTGGGGGTGGCGGCAAGTGGCGCGGCCGGGGCCAGCCTAGTCCCCTTTAGAAAAATACCTACGCCAGGGCCGGCCTCCGAGGCGAGACCCAGCGCCGGGGAGACGGGGGGGGCGCAGCGAGCCCGGCCGGCCAAGCCCCCCTCTCCCCTGCCCCTGCCGGGTGGGCTTCCTGGTTTCGCGAACCCGGAGGTCTGCCGGGGCACGCATCCGCGCGCGCGCGCCTGCGCCCGCGCCCGCGCCCGCGCACCTTCCACCCACTGGCCATGGTGCGGGCGGGCCCGCGCGTGCGCGCATAGTCGCTGCGCCTCGCCCCCCCTCCGCCCGGGCAGGGTATCTCCCTCGCGGCGGCGGCGGCGGCGGCGGCGGCCAGGACATGCCGGGCAACGCGCCCCGGGGCTCGTGGGCCGCGCTGGGGCACGACATTCATTGGGAGCAACGGCCCTCGTTTTCCAGGGCAGACGCGAGTGGAGCGGCGATGTGTCGCGTCCATGCCAGGGCCGCCCTCCACTCGCAGGGCCGCCCCGGGTCCGGGGGGGGAAAAGAGGGTCGCCCGCGGGCATGAGCCCGCGCACATAGTGATGCCAACCGAGAGTGGTGATGAGAGCCGGACCCAGCGCGCCTCCGGCCGGCGGGGCAAGGGTTTCTCCCCGAGAGTTCGGCACGGGCGGCGAGGGCAGGGGGAGGCACACTCGCGCGCACACGCACACGCACACACACACACATGTGGACCGGCGACTAACGCCGGCACACAACAGGCATATACCCCCCTCCAGAGGGCCGGGGGGCTTCAAGCGTGCGAACGGCCTTCCCCCGCCAAGAGCATATGCACTTCTTGTCGGGGAGCCCAAAACCTAGGCATCCTCGCAGAATATATTAATATGATTTTTGTGTGCCCGCTCGCGCAAGGCAGTCCCCCCCCCCCCCCCCAATGGACGGAGACCTGCCTGGCCGCGAGAATCGCAGAGAAAGGCGCAGCAAGGCGAAGGGGGGATGGACAAAAGCCAGCCGAGGGCGTTTCGGGTCGGGCCGCCCAGAGGAGAATGTCGTTTCGAGCAAAGATCACGCCCACCCAAAGCGAGCACATGCCCGAGAGGGAACCTGCCCACTGACGGCAGATGACAACCCACCAAACCACTCCCCCCCCCCCCGCCTGCGGGAGCCCAGCCGGGGAACTGCGCCCAGGGCGGGGGAGGGGGGTGCCGGCCAGGACCACGTTCCCCCCCCCCCCCCCGGTGCGTCCTGGCCGCGATCTGGGATCTTGCGCGCCATGTGCTGTGCGAGATGGGCCGGGACAGAGCCACATGCAGGTCCTTCTTTCTTCGCTCCGGCTGGCCTCCGGCTCGGCCGCAGGGCCGCCGCGTCCTCCCCCGACCGGCGTGCCGGGTCCTTGACCCCCAAGACTGGGCCTACCGCCGCGGCCGAGGCGCGCGCCCAGATCCGATCAGCCCACCCTCTGCTCCCTCTGCCCGGTTGCCTCGCCTCCCTCGCCTCCCTGTTCCTTTCTCCCCCCCCCCCCCCCCCCCCCCCCCCCCCCCCCCCCCCCCCCCCCCCCCCCCCCCCCCCCCCCCCCCCCC